GTTAGTCTGTCCGTCCATTACCTCCTCTAATATGGCCATACATTAACTGATCGAAAACACTTTTTGGGGGGAAAATGCAAACATGTAAGGGGGCACAAAGTATCATTAGCTTTACTAGGGTGCGAAGCTTAGTACAATTTTTTTTTTTGCAAAAATTAAAAGTTTTATTATTTAACATGCAAAATACTCCTAAACTTTAAAAACAATTTAATCATAAACAAACACTTATTTACTACAAATTAAATATTGTTTTTTGCATATCTGTTCATTAAGATTTTATACAAGAATCCAATTTTCAGTTCGCTCTGCTTTTTCGAGAACTATAAACAAATCAAAAGGTCAAACGCGTCAACAGTTAGAATTTATCTCCAGAACGAAATATTTACTTTTGACCAGTTGTATGTTGCATGCTCAAGAGTAAGAAATTCTAAAAATTTATTCTTCGCGGTTAAGAAGGGAAAATTGTTTACGATGAAGTCCTCTATAATAAAGTTAAATTAAAGAAATTATTGAACAGCGATGTAAGGTTTTTGTCAAATTATTTTCCAAACAAATCAGCTTATTCAAATTTCAACGATTGGTTTGGGAATTTGAACAGAGCGTAGAGTTTGTAAATCTCTTCAAAAATGTTAGCGATAATATCAACAATACTAAACACCGTGTAATATATTGTAGTGCACATAAAAATGCACTCAGGTAAAACTGTCTTGTAATAACTTCCTACTTTGAAAAATGCAACCTCCATAACAATGGGATGGCTAAATATTGATGTTTATTTACACTTGGATTTATTATCTCTACTGTTATTTTCGAATAATATATACCGACAAATCTTTTTAATTCTAACATATTAGTGCGCCCTAGTTTCTTAGTATGTTTTCATTTCAATCTGTTCATAAGTAACGATTTATCTTAGAGTGAAAGCATTTGTATGCAAATTTATATTTGTTTGCGAATTTCCTTACATCATCTAGTGCGCGAAGACCCATCTATTGTTTGGGATGCATTCTAAATGGTTTCTATCTATATATTTCAGTCAGTTCCTATCTATCTATCTATCTATCTATCTATCTATCTATCTATCTATCTATATATATATATATATATATATATATATATATATATATATATATATATATATATGTAGAAATATAGTTTTAAGGTGTGCTATATTTATGGGATAAAGTACTCAATATCAGAGATAGAGCGTATGTAAATATAAATATAAAAATGAACATTGAAGTCAACACTCAGAGGCGACAGAGTTCACATACTTGAAGGAAAAAAACTTGCAGAGATATTGTGATACTAAATTTATTTAGAAATCACGATATTAAAGAAGTTAACTTTGGACTCTACAATCATAAGAGATGCCCAAAATGGTGGCCTTTAGTTTTCAGGAAGTTATTAGTACGGCAACATGGGCAAAAGTGACTAGTATGAAAGCTGCACATTCATTTTCAATATCTTGTCTAAGTGCTGCCAATGTACTTAAGTTTCTGCGACACACAGCATCCATAAATATACGAAAGACAATTTTTTCTTATTCTGAAGTGTGTATGCATTTTTTGGCATCCTTTGTATATGATAACTCACGAAACACAATTAATAACACAACAGCAAGAGAACCCTTGTTCTCTGACGACGGCGTTACCAGAAACTCAAAGTAACGATTTGGATCTCGTCTCTTTATGCTGTTTCCTTGGTTACTACTATTCCTCTGTCGTGATATATTTGCTACAGGCAATAAGAACTTTGTGTTATTGTCTAGGTAGGTGTTGCCTTTACTTTTTCTTTCTTTCTTTTTCATTCTTTTTTTTTTCTCATTTCAGTTTATTTCTTCTTGCTTTATTTTTTTCTTTATTTTACCGTTTCAAGATTTTTTTTTCATTTGACATGTGTGTCTTGGTAGACTTGTACTTTGAAACTTTGTAATAGTTTGAATTAATACACAAACACACACACACACACACACACACACACACACACACATATATATATATATATATATATATATATATATATATATATATATTGTTGCAAAGCATTGAAACTATATTCTTTTAAAACAAATGAAAGTCTTTTTTGTTTAGTATTTTCGAATTATCTTCTTCATTAAAAAACTGAAGTCGTTTAACATTAAAGCTTGGAACGAAATCAAAGGAAGACTACAAAAATAAATTCAAAATATCGTTCGACTCGAGTAATGTTTATAATTTTCCTCTATTCTGCTCTTGTGTTTAATATTTTTTGTATTTTCAACATAATCAGTTATGAGTAAGACTGTTATTGAAATGAAACCAAAACAAGACTTCTGATGCATAATTAGCGGTGGAATGTTTTAAAATGACACACGGAATTATTTCATAACTTAAAATTGTTAAAACAATGCAAGCTACGTGGAGATGGCGACAGGAATGTTAGTAATAAAACAGCAATAGCAGCACGGTAGCTTAAAATTCGTACAAGATATAAATGATTGGGTAGGAATATGACTCACTAGGAATTGCGCAAATGCCAACCAATGAAAATAAAAATCCTAAGATTCTCTTCAACTTTCGGATCGTCCATTTTAGGCGCTCCGTGAGACTAGACAATAAATTTAAAAGAAATTGTAAATCTGGACGAATATTTCAGCCTCAAATGAAAACTGAATTTATGCGGAACGTAAAGGTGACTGTCCTGCCCATCATTGTTGAAGCACTTGGGACAGTGTAGAAGGTCCTAGCAAGAAATCTAGAATGTCACGCAAGGAATATATCCCATCATATAACGACATTTGTGTTAACGCTAGAATATTGAGGAGAATGGTAGGGTAGTGAGGTGAACCCCCAGTCATAACAATGTAAGCAATCTGGTATGCTTAAACAGTATTAGTAATAGTAGTATTAGTAGAAGAAGAAGAAGAATTAACTGGGAAGTAGTTGAAAGTAAACATGATGGATAGGAATGGTTACTCACAGTGACTTATTCAAATTACAGATATTTGACGATGCTGACTAGCAGTCATTGCACAGAAGATGCCATAAAGAATAGAAAAAATCTTCTATTGGATTTAGAATTTCAATCAGATCGTTCAATGCAAGTCAGAATGACGGATATTTTCAGTTTAAACAAGAGGAGATCCGTCAGATAAAGGAAATCGCTCTTCAAATTGGCGAAAATGTAAGAGTATGAGAGATTAAAAAAGTATCTTGACTTTGTGATTTCTTTACAGGAAGAAGAAAGTTTTGTCTATCGTTAATGGAGTGGAAGGGAAAATCTCTAAGAACTGCGCAAAATAAATATGGCAGAACTGTAAACGTGGGATATAAGAATGCCCGAGAGCAGATGAGGGTATTAATAATTCCAGAATATTCGATAATGCAGAATACTGAGGAGACATATTTCTATTTGATGTATAGTAAGAGAATGTGCAAAACGGATGGACATGTCATGTGATACCTATTGAGGTCGGGACCATGGATTCCATGGACGGTCAGTTGTTTCCGTCCTTTTGAAAGTGTGCATCACTGGCCGGAACCTAATGTGTGCTTCACATCGTCTCCACATCACAGCTCATCATTCATCGAGTTAGATATGGTCAAGATCCCAAATAAATAAAGTTAAATAAAGCCATGCTCACAATAGAATGCTACTTCCGACGTGAAAGATCTGTTTTTTACCTATCATTCTCCGTCGTTAATAACGGTCGATACGACCGCGTTGTGTATTTAAAGACGACGCTGGAAATTTAATTCGCAATTGTAAAAGAAATCGCAAAAGACTGACACATATACAAAAACAATACCCTGTCCGGTGACAAAAGCTGCTGGTGGCTCAAGGGGTGGCAATAACGCCTTAGGCACCGAAACTGTGTTACCTCCCCTGATTGGCGGTTAACAGTGTCAGGGTATCGCACGGGATTTCGCAAGCTGTATGTAGTGAATATATATATATATATATATATATATATATATATATATATATATATTGTGTGTATTTAGGCAGCATTTTTTCATTGATACATGTTTCATTAAATAATATAGACAAGTGTTTTCTATTTATTTTATGTACATTCTTTTCATATCGTCTGATAAACTTAATAACATATCATTAAGAAAGAAAATCAGAATATTGATACATATTTTTTAATCCTAAGCTTTCGGCTTACATAAGTCATTATCAAAGATGACTATTTCATTACAATATATTAAGCAATACACGGACAAGACAGTGATGATAGTATGTTTCTGTTTACCTGAAAGATTTCCAAGCAACGACAACCTCGTGCATATAAGACGCTGGAAGCGAATTCGCAACGCAGCTCATGACGTCACACATGACCACAGTAAAGAGTAAATTTGATATATATATATATATATATATATTTATAAAGATTGTGATTTTCTTTTATTCGAAAATTATAAATTACAAATATTATAAAATCACTACAAATATAGCCATTTTGTTTCAATACTCCTGGTGTCTTCTCAAGTGATGCTGCTGAACATTATATATATATATATATATATATATATATATATATATATGACACAGGGATCGAGAAATAGGGTAAGACCATTAACCTAATGGATATTTGACTTAGTATCTTTCATTCTGTTGTTTTCACAATTGAGAGAATAGTGACCTATTCCATGAGCTACCAAGCAAATCCCGGTAACTGGTCGCATCTAGCCAGAGAAAGCAACAATGAATGGGGTTTACGCATAGAGGGGATATTAGAACAGCGATGCCGAGCCCTCAGAATACGTTTTATAAGTGTTCGTTGTCGAAGTACATTCTTGAATTACTCACTCTTGTACCAGCTCTCTTCATTTCTATAACGTGAACTATCAATCTGCCTCTGTCCTTCCCCCTCCTCCTCTTCCTCCTTCTCCATCGATGTTCTATACTCCTCCTTTCTTTTGCGCTTACCGCACCTTCATTCATAGTGTATGAGGTTCAAACCGTGCCAAAAAACGTCCTTTCTTTTCACACCAGCGTCTTTTACTTGAGATTCAAGATGCAACGAGCAACTTAAAACGCCGCGGCCCGGCATCGATCAGTATTGATTCGAACGGAGCGCAGAAGGAAGAAAAGTGCCTTGGGGGAGAAGAAGAAGAAGAGATGGAGATGGGGAACATAACACAAGAGTGAGTGGATACCGTAGAATCGAGAGAGAAAATGGAGCGGGGAGATGGCAGAATCAAGGAAATCAGAGTAAAAAGAGGAATGTAAGGGGCAAAAGAAGAAGAAAGAAATAAAGAAAGAAAAACAGGAGAAGAAGAAAAGAAGAAAGAAAGAAAGAAATAAGAAAGAAATAAAAAGAAAAAAGACAGAAATAAGAAGAAGAAAGAAAGAAAGAAATAAGAAGAAAGAAAGAATAAGACAGAAAGCTAAAAGGAAGAAATAAAGAAAGAAGAAAGAAAGACAGAATAAAGAAAGAAAACAAGCGAAAGAAAGAATAAATAAAGTAAGAATAAGAAAGAAAGAAATAGAGAAAGAAAAAGAAAGAACAAAGAAGTTAGAAAGAAAGAAGAACGTAAACAAGAAATAAAGAAAGAAAAAGAAAGAAAGAAGAAACTAAGTAAGAAGAAAGAAAGAAAGAAAGAAAGAAAGAAAGAAAGAAAGAAGAAACAAATAAAGAAAGAATAAGAAAGGAAGCAAGAAAGACAAAGAAAGAAAGCCGAAGAAAGAAGAAGAAACTAAGTAAGATGAAAGAAAGCAAGAAATAAAAAGAAAGAAGAAATCAAGAAAGAGAAGAAAGAAGAAATAAATGAAAATGAATAAGAAAGAAAGAAAGAAGATAGTAAGCAAGCAAGCAAGAAAGAAAGAAAGAAAGAAAGAAAGAAAGAGAAAACGAAGAAAGTGGAGGTAAAGCGTGAAAAGGACGGAAACTGAAAAGATATAAGATGGATGAAATCGACGCGGGAGAAGAAAATGAAAAAATGAAAATAACAAATAGCCAACGAAGCAAAATACAATAAGACGAACATCAACAACAAATGTAGAAACTAATGAAAAATGAGGAATAACAACAGGAAAAAACACAAAACCAAAATAAAGACATAAATAATATATATATATATATATATATATATATATATATATATATATATAACTATTCTGCTATTACTTATAGTACTTTTTTTATTATAATAACAATAACATCAGTGTTAACTTTATTAATTCAAAAGAATCAGCCAATCCAATTCCGAACACAATATCTTGGAATTGTAAACAAACAGAAACTATAGAAGACTCCACTGTTCTTTTTTCTAACAGACCTCAGAAAATAATAGGAGAGTTTTTGTCTGAAGTACTACGATGAACAGTTATCGTTATTTCCATTGTTTACAAGAGAACTATTGTCCACATCATTGTTGTTATTATCACAACGTTTCATCCGTTGTCGCTCCGGTCTTCTTCAGATGATTTTCGATCCAGGCAAAATGCAAGGAGTTTTGGACTGAATCTTTTATTTAATCTACGGGGATTATATTCGTTCCACTGTCTCGGGTTATCTCGTCTAAGTATTTTTGTTCAGTATTGCTCGCTAAATTTCCAACGAGTTCAAGTCCCAAAAATAGAGAGCGAAACATCTAATAACAGGGAACATTATGTGTACGGTTTTAGTTTACATAAGAAAATCATTTCAATCTTTGCAAACGGAGAGCAAGAATTAGAACTCAAAGAGTTAATATGAAAGCATTACTAAAATCATCGAAAATTCTGAGGAAATTGATAGAATACTTCGAATTATTGATGCCATTTGATTTTTCAATAACAGCAACTAATGCTGAAAATCAGTGAAAACTAATTGTTCTGTTTTTTACTGCTTATCAACCTTTGTCACGTTATTTAAATCCAGAAAATATTTTAAATTGTAAGATAACAATTTATTGATACAAGTCTAATAGTGAATAGGTGAAAATACCCAAGGCTATTTGCGCATAAGTGGATAAACGAACACGACTGGAATTGGAACTTAGCTTTCCGATTAACAATTCCAACCCGTTATCCAATACCTCACGTACATCCAAGCTTTCAACACCCGGTGTTCCCTAGCAGTCACCCATCTTAGTACTGACCAGGCTCGAAGTTGCTTAACTTCGGTGATTGTAAGAGAACAGCTGTTTCAATGTGAATATGCCCGTAAGCTCAGTGAGACCAATTACTAATACTAATAAGGATAAATTAAGAAAATCTTTCTTCATCAACGTGGCTACAGGGTCAAAGAGATTGACAGGATCAAGAAATACACCGATCTCCCGATTGAAGTTTCCAGAATTTAGAATGTTCAGGATAGTATTGTTTGTTACCGCTGGGCGTTATCGTTTATATATATATATATATATATATATATATATATATATATATATATTGTCTCTAGTATTGCATCGTTTCAGAAATCTACCTTGGATTGACACCGCTTATTTTATGCGAGAGTTGCTATCACACTGATGTCATAGAATTTGATGACGAACACCCATAAAACAAGATCTCTTCGGTTCAAAAACAAAGAAATAATAATAATAATAATAATAATAATAATAATAATAATACAGACCATAAACAAAAAAAAGTGCCTCCTTATTGATATTGCAGTCCCTGCAGACTGCAATGTATCTTTGAAGATATTCAAAAATCTGTCAAAATACAAGGACCTTGAAATAGAAATCTAAAAATGTGGCACATAGGAACATCAACAATCCCTGTTGTAGTTGGAGCCCTAAGATTGTTTGCAAAAGACTCCAGTAGACTAATTGAAGGGATTCCTGGAAGTCCATGCCTCAAAGAAATACAAAAAATTGTTTTCACAAATACAGCCCACAATTTACGAAGGACTTTATCTATGTAAAATGTTTTTTGTCAGTGGAATGTGGCATGACGCCATTTCTAACCTTATGTCCCTGGGAGGGACCCGGAAACTAATGTGTACACGCCAGAAATCAAAGGAAATAACAATAATAATAATAATAATAATAATAATAATAATAATGAACGATCCGAATACTTTAAAAAAACAACTCTGTAACAGCTTTTGCAAAATAAGCAAGACTAAGAGATGGAAATAGAAATATATGTGGCATTTAAAAACTGTTCCTGTTGCGGTTGGCGCTTTGGGCCTGATAAAGAACATAACTCCAAAACAAATCTACAAAATCTTTGATGCAGAATCTCTCAAAGAAATCCCCAAAATAATTCTAACATTCACTGTAAAGAGCTTTGTCCATTTCTTTTTTAATAACTGTCTTTTTTTTTAATTAAGTGGGAACAACAAAAATCCATATTTCAATTGCCCAAGGTCATTGATAATGACCTGGCATGGGATTATGAAACAAATATTTCTAAGTTTGAAGCCTCAGGTGCTCAGCTGCAAGGTGATGCATTGCTTTTCTCAAATCCTCTCCGGATAGAGGTTAGCAGATTATGGGGCGGCTGGACACTATTGCCCGGATTTCCAATGGTCCTTTGGGGTCTATACCACCGGAATTAAAATTAGACACAAAAAATAAGTATATAGCTTAGTATCTTGTCGATTCAGAAGTTTGCATTACTTGGCACTGCAGATATTCTGTCAGAGGTGCTGTCTGTTTAACTTGATGGGTAAAACACATAATGAAAGATATCTTGAAAACAAAAAAACGTACGGAAGCAGTAATGATAATAATATTAAGAAGAAAAAAAGAAGAAGAAAAGAAAAAGAAGGCGATAAAAGAAGAAGAAAGATAAAAAGAAGATGAAAGAAGAAAAAGAAGTAAAGAAAAACAAAAGAAGAAAAAGAAGATAAAAGAAGAAGAAAAATAAAAAGAACGAGAAGGACATGAAAGAAGAAAAAGAAAAAAAGAAGGAAAACTAAAAGAGAGAAGAAGAAGAAGAAGAAGAAGAAGAAGAAAAAGAAAGAAAGAAAGAAAGAAAGAAAGAAAGAAAGAAGAAAAAGAACTGGAAAAAGAAGAAGAAAGAGGTGAAAGAAGAAAAGAAGAAAAAGAAGAAGAAAAGAAGAAAAAGAAGAAGAAAAAGAAGAAAAAGAAGAGAAGAAAAAGTAAAAGAAGGAGGTGATAGAAGAAGGAGAAGAATAAGAAGAAGAAGAAGAAGAAGAAGAAGAAGAAGGAATAGAAAAAAGAATTCAAGTAAGTCATATATTAAAACTGAAAATAAAATAAAGAAAGAAACAAACAAATTGGCGATTTGACAGGAGATTGCCAAAGAATCAAACGTTTACGGAATATGAAGATGGCTATCGCATATGATAATGATTTAGTAAATCTAAAAAAGGTTTATGTGTTGTTTAAAGAATATGATGTTCATGAAAATGAATGAAAGTAAACCATTTAAACTAGTCACGAGAATTGGGAACATGTTATGATCACATGCCTTTAACCATAAAACAAATCTAAAGCGACCAGAAAGCCTTAGTTTTCAGACAGCATTGAAACCACTAACTCCCAATGGATAATCAAAAGCTATTCGTTTGCTCTACATTTCGAGACCGACTACTTTATGGTGCGTGGGATGTGGCGTTACAACCTCGTTGTTGAAGCTGAATTCGATTGGATAAATATAATGAAAATGAAGGAATCAAGGAACAAGTCACGTATATAAGAAATAATTAGTTGCAAAATGGCGGGAAGGAAAATATAACCCGAACAAAAGAAAGAAATAAAAAAAAAAAAAAAAAAGCAAGGAGAGAAGAGTTGTAGGCAGAGACGTAAAAGAGAAAGGGGAATTAACAAAAACAAAGTCCAGAATAACTAGTGAAAGCAAGGAAGGAAGGAATGAAGGAAGAAGCGTCGTAGGACAAGAAATAAGGAAAGAGATAAAAAAAAGAAGAGAAAGATAGAAATGTTGGTTTAGAAGAGAAAAGAGAAAAAAAAAACGTTAAGGAAAGGGAAGAAAAGAAGAGGATATTGGAAAAAAAAAAAAAATAGAAGGAAATAATGGTAAGAAGTAAAGAAAATGAAGAGGGAATGAGATACTAGAGACTAAACATGTAGTTGATTCGCGCCTTATTGTTTACGTCATATTTGTGCCTTTATATCAGATAAAAGAAAGCTTAAAACATACACACGCGCACACATATATGTCAGTATTAGTCGTATACATTTAATACATCGTCAGCTATCTCTCTCTCTCTCTCTCTCTTTCTATATATATATATATATATATTAATGCATGTTTCATTAAATAATATAGACAAGGTTTGTCTATTTATTTTAAGTAAGTTCCTTTCATATTGTCTGATAAGCTTAATCACATTATCATTGAAAGTCAAAAGGAAATCACCATATTGATACATGTTTTAATCCAATCTAAGCTTTCGGCTTACATAAGCCATTATCAAAGATGACAATTTCAATAAATCAAACAACAACGGACGAAACAACAATGATAGTCCGCTCTTGCTGCATGAAAAATTTCAAAGCAACGACTAACTCGTGTATACGAGACGCGGAAACAAAAATCGCGTCGCAGCTCGTGACGTCACACATGACCACGTGACAGTGAAAACAAGAAGTATTAAGTATCGGAAGCCATTGATATAAACCAATGGCTTTTTTTATAAATTATAGGCATTTAAGAATATTTGTGGAGATTTCATAGTTTACTTTGTTCAGGTTAGGTTTCAGATGTTTTATGTATAAAGCTTCAAGAATTTTTTAATTTTTGTTTATTGTTTTCATGTTTAAGTATAGTTGTGTTGTCAACAATGATTTTCCGGAATTGAGTACGCAGCCAGGCATGTTGTTTTAAATGCCTAAAAATGTTAGTTATCAATATAGTTTAAATGTAGAGTCAATGAATGGCTTATTCAATAAATAAATTATATGTATAAATGTATTATAGAAAAACAAAACAGTTGATGTAATCAAAGTACAACTTGCCAAAACCTAAAACTCTTATCCTGTCTTGAACAAAAACGACAATACCGGAAAAAGTAAAGGAGAAAAATGCTTAGATTGTGTAGACAGAGCAAAATACGCTTAACAACGTTAATTCCTATGAAAGGATGGCCCTTGTTGTAACCTGAGTTGTATGTATGTATGAATGCTGTTGAGTCATTAAATGTATATGGTCATCCGTGACACAGAATCACACACACGCAGGTACACACACACACTCACGTGAGTGTGCCTGTGTGCGTGTGTGCCTGTGTGCGTGTGTGTGTGACGTCATTTCTATCTCATAAATGACCTCATGCCAAAACTTAGTTACGAAGGTGTGCAGTACATTCGTTTTCGTCACCGGTGAAAGGTGTTAAGATTACTGAATAATTTAGTTGCATCTGAAGTCCGGGCTAAAAGTGAATGTCCTGACTCAATGTCGAAGTCGAATACAGGTAGATTATTTCTGTGGTATGTGCTGTGTTTATTTGAAATTTCGGAATTTTCAGTCAGTGTCAGTTGTTTCGACGAAATTTAAGAACGGGCTAGTTTTTTTAATTTTTTTTTTAATATTATCTGTTGTCCTCATTTTTATTGCCATATTCATGACGTTTCGGCCGTTGTACGCTTCGGACTTCTTCAGGTGATTAGAATTTCGAACGAAATCTTTTATTTCGACAACCGAGGTAGATTGTTCCAGTACCATGCCTCTTCCGGGTGTCTCAGTTATCTCACTTTAACACAATTCTCCAAGTTTTTGTTCACCACTGCAGTAGGTATGAAACCCATAATTTTTGGGGTCAAGTCACTAGATCCAACCAATGATTTTATCTACTGGGCCATGTGTCCTCAATGTGAAATGTTTGTTTTGTAAATTCTCCTGCTTATTTGAATATAGGAAAAAATAAAATAATATATTAATCAGACAGACCTTGTTGGCCACATTTAATCAAAGTTGTTTGTATAGACCAGATTAAGATAGATAGATAGCTAGCTAGATACACACAAAAAGACTACGATAGATAGATAGATAGATAGATAGATAGATAGATAGATATGAACAGAGATAGATAGATAGATAGAATGACGAAGTAAATAAGATCACCAGAAAGCAATAAACAAAGTTTGAAGCATTAACGCATATATTTATCTGAATAGATAAATGCTTTAATGAAATACTTGTAAAATCTCATTTTGTTATGCAAATCTGTATGCCATTTAATTAGTAGACTTTGAAACATGAGGAGCAAGATCTTTTGGCCAGTCTCCAGCTTTATAGTGACACCAGGAAGAAGAAAAAATGTCTGGCCCTTGGCCAGTTTCACAGTCATAAAAAACCGTCCACCTAAGGCTGAGTGGTTTCTTTTCGGGAGGAGTCTGTCTATGGCCACGTGTTTTGCCTTCTGATTCGAGCAACCAGAAAATGGTCGACACAAATTTCCTTTTCGTTTATTTGCAGGAATTCGAAACGCACGCATGCACTAATGCGTCCTTGCAGGTGTAACGGAGCTTAAAACTGCATCTGACATCATCATTAACATTTAATGTCAGGTTTAATTTGCTTCTTTTCTTGTTACGATCTTTCAATTAAGATTATTAAAAAACTGATATTTTTTTCTTTGAGAATAATTTTTATAATGTCTTTTGCGTTCTGTAATTCCCTTTTCGGATTTAATATAATTAACATGGATATCTACATCGTCACTCTGATGGTTACATTTTTGCTAATCGCAACAGTGGTTGTTTGAGTTTAGGCAAACATTTTTAAAGCGTTTTGTTCTGCACTGCTTTTGTTTTTGTTTTGTTTTTTTATGGTTTTTTTTTTTTTTTTTTTTTTTTTACGGCATGGGTTATTTAATGCCGACAAAATTTTTATTGCTGGTAATATTTTGTTTTATCAAAAATCTATTTTGGTAATATTTTTCTTTCAAAAATATATTGCTGATAATTTTTTTTTCAAAAATATATTGCTATTAATATTTATTTTTAAAAACATTGTTGGTAATATTTTTCTAAAAAAATGTATTGCTGGTAATAGTTTTTTTTCCGTCAAAAATTTATTGCTGGTAATAATTTTTTAAAAGTATTTCTTGTATTAAAACCTATTTTTACACTTTCATACTGATTTTACCCGAGTTTCAGTGTTAACTATTTGCCCATAGCTCGGACCCTAACAGGTTCTGCCACCCCGGCTCAGGGTGGACCTAGGAACAACAACAATTAAGAGGTGGTTCCACGCTCCTCACAACCTCCTGATAAAAGACCTTGCCGCTGGACGTAATTTATCGTCTTACCCAGGACGCGGATGTAGTTTATCGTCATACGCAGGACCGTGCACTATTTTGATGAATAGCGCAAAACAATCTTAATATTCTATTTTCCAAATTAAGATCAGTTAAATAAATAATATATTTTAATTTTTAATATTTTTAGTGTAATCGTTAGTAATTTTTGCTGTCGTCATTAAGTGTTGTTATCATCAACAATGTCACAAAGACAGTTTTGACTTCGTCTTCTTCGATATTCATCATATAAGATCAGCTCAGGTAACGTATATATGAGAGAATGGTTTGATTCAGGGTTCAATTACTTGCTACCCTATATCTTAAGTATCGGGACGAAATATTATTTCACTCTAAATGGAGAAAACATAGAGATAAGTGAGAAGTCAGTTCATAATATTCCAGAGTTAAGTACTCCGATGTTAACATGAACCATCACAGGATCTGCAACTCTCATACCTGTCGTCCTTAAATTTTGATATAATGGGTTATATATATATATATATATATATATATATATATATATATATATATATATATATATATATATAAAGTGAACATTAAGTCAACACTTTGAGGCGACAATCTGTTTCATGCTAAATGCAATCGTCAGGCCACGACGATTGCGTCTAGCATGAAACAGACTGTCGCCTCTAAATGTTGACTTCTATGTTCACTTTTATATTTACACACGCTCTATCTCTGATATCGAGCACTTTATCCCATAAATATAGCACATCTTAAGACTATATTTCTTCATATATATATATATATATATATATATATATATATATATGTGTGTGTGTGTGTGTGTGTGTGTGTGTATGTGTGCCTGTTTTACATAATATATAGGTAGATAAATAAATTGGCAATAAAAAATTATTTTATACGATATTTATTTTAGTTTTTCAACATAATCTCCTCTATTTACAAATAACTTGGCAAATATTGAAAGCTATTCTTTGAATTTCACAAATAGGAATTCAATTCATAAATGAATACAAACAAATAATTGTTTCTGTCTGTCTGTCGCTCTCTCTCTCTCTCTCTCACACACACACACACAGACACACATATATATATATATATATATATATATATATATATACATATGGAGGCTTGACCTCTTTCCGGAGGTTACTGATATGCGGATACAAATGGTTAACTCTAACGCCGATTATCGAAATGGTCGCTCCAACCGCTTCCATAGTAATTAATTTTACGAATGAACATACTTACATTTCATGATTGCTTATTCCGAAATTTTCGATTGAGGATGAAACAGGGCTTGATACTTTAACTCAAATTGATTTTAATAATTATATTGAGGTATTTAGCTCTTATTTTGGAAACATGATAACTCTTATGTAGCGAAGGAATCATATTTAAAAATAATATATATATATATATATATATATATATATATATATATATATATATATATATACACAAACATATATATTTGGATGAGTTGCCCCAAGGAATTTTGTGTGGGCGGCGCTATATCAAGTCTAGTTAGTTACCGCTTCGTCAACGAATCCCGTTATACCAGTGTGTATGACGCTTGCATCGTATCTTTAATATTCGGGTTCGGTTTTGCTGATGAGTCCGAAAATAGACAGTCTAATGCTTTCTGCATTCTGTTGTGGATTCTTCTATTTATTGAGTTCAATTCTCACTGACTACCCCATTCTCTCGGTGATGTGTCACATCTAAACTGTGCTTAGAAAATCATTTTGGCCTTGTGTCACACGAAATGTAATATTACAAAATGAAGAGTTATCCAATTATTATCGAACTATTTCATTTCGGTTATTGTAACAATTTGTTGCATAGATTTAAGGAATTGACTTCTTTGTCAATCGCTGCCATGTTGGGTTGGAGTTCTTCACAAAAACTTTTGTGAAATATTCATAATATTTTAATATGCCTAAATATCACTTGATAGATAATTTGTCACTCTAATACCTAATATAAAACTTATCCTTGTTAATAAAGGCTGGCATAATTAACCAGGAAAATTGTTATATTTTATATTAATTTTAACAAATTCAATGTAGCGTAAATGATGCTTATAATCACTTATCTTAGGGTATTTTGTTTTGTTGATTACTTATTATTCATTTAATGTTGCTTGCTTTTTCAAGCTTTATATTTTGACGGCCATTTATCTAATTTTCCATTAAATTAATGAGTACAGGATGTCATAGTCTCTTTGTTCCACCTTCCTATTTTTGTGGTGGCACCGATGGCCGTTATGGGATAATGAATCTCATCAATGCCTCAAATAATTTCGTTATATACATCAGAACTATATTAGAAAAACTGTCTGAAAATCTTCTCAAAAAACAAGATCGCTTCTTGTCATTCATAAGCGTTCCTCGTTTGTTCTGATAACATATTAAATTATTCTTTTTAAAGTGCGCATCTTTCAGTTTAAAAGATCATTAATATACTCAGTATTATTATAGCATTTTGTAAACTTTTAAAGTTCCGTGGACTTCATTCATTCTCCGTTTACAGTACTAAGATAATTATGGGCGCCACCATAAAGATTATATTTCACAACGCTTGTATTAGGTCATGATATTTAAACATCTTATCATTTCCTTCAGTTTCATGCTCGGGAATAGAGGAAAAGCTGAAATACTATTTTATATATTTTCCTTTTTTTGCTTCTAAATTCTCAAATCCCATCATCAGGTCGGTTGTTAGATTTGATTGAATACAAATGTTCAAAATGATCTTACTTCTAGAGTTCTCAAATTTGTTTTTATACGATTTACGCGTATGGTGGGTGATCAAATCAATAACATAATGCTTCGTGAATCACCGTTTCTCTTCAGTTAGGTCTACTTTAACAAACTTTTATCTCTTTAATCCGGCAAATCTAGGATATGGTCAAACCAACTATAAACGACCCTTAACGAAGTCCTCTATGTAACTATATTACTTACCTTTAGTCTTAGGAGCTCATTCTATACATATATTAAGTTATATTATAAAAGGTAGATCAATGATTAAAACGGAAAATTATTCAAATTTTGATATTTCGAAACAGTTTTATTTTTCTATTAATATAAAAACTAAAACCAGAAACAGTATTAGTAGCTTAGATTACATAACAAGAGAATCAGGATCAGCAGTGATACCAGGATCATCAGTGTTTCGCGGGTCAACAGTATCTTAAGTATCAGCACTGATTCCAGGATCAACACTGCCTCCCGGCTCAGCAGTCTTAAAATAGCTCTGTCCCGATGATCAGCAGTGTTTCCTTGATTAGTAGTGTCCTCAGGATCTGTATTGTCTCTAAGATCAGCATTGTCTTCCGAATCAGCACTACTTCGATGATCTGCAGTGTCTCAAGTATCAACACTGCATCTAGGATCAGCACTGACTGCAACATCAGCAGTTTCAATGTACATTCATTTTAATAAGTTAGTTATAACCTGATAAATTGTTTTTCTCTGTGCTTTTAACCTGACATAAAGAACTTTAGTGGTAGATTCATAAAGAAATGATCGCCATTTCAAAATATAGGAAATCATGAGAATTTCTAGACCATAAGGCACCATTAGACAGTTACATTCTGTATATATTTCTAGGTTCGTTTCTTACATTCATTTATAACATGATATAGAATTTCACCTCCTCAACACTTGCTGTTTTGTTGTGTTATTGATTTTCACCTTCACATAATTGATTCTAATGCACATGTTTTGGGACGCTATTACCAACTATTTCTATTACTCTGCTCCCATGTTTCTGACTCAGTCAACGTAATATCACCTGTAGATTTTGAAACCTTTTTATATTGTTTTGTTTCCTAAATTATTCTGTTGTATTTTCTATCATCTTGTTCCTTCTCGTTTCTGTCCAGTGTTGTTTTCTTTTTAATTTCTTGTTTGCTTTAATGTTTGTCAGCTCTTTTACAGTTTCTTAACACCATTGCCATTCTTCTCTGTTCCATTGTCCGTATTTTGTCAGTTTCTATATAACTCCTTTTATCAGCAAGTTAACTGAATATAGCTTTATTATTAAACGGAGTTTTTTTTTTGTCTTTTTTTAAATCGACATTTTTGCAGCTGGATATTCCACTCCAAAGGGAGAATGTATACAATTCATGAAAAAGCCTAATGTTATTTATTTTCATGCAAATGATCTTGTATTTTCAAGACATTTTCGATGCAAGTTGC